ATTTTAGCATGAGAATAAGATCCATGAAACAAATACCTGAAAACTGGTGAACATGATTACCAGAGATTTCTAGTAGTAGAATCAGAGGAAAAATTTCACCAAACATTCTTTAATTCTATCTAAAATGTTTGCCACACGCATGCACTGCTTCTTTTTAAAAACTGGCTTAATGTAAGAAAATTACTTTGTGTGAAGTCAGACTTAAAACATCTTGGACACACTTTATAAAAATCATGTGAAGTTTAAATATGATTTTAAATTGAAAAAAGATGGAGCTGGACATGTTGGCAACTATCTGTATAATACCAGTACTCGGTAGAGGCAGAAGAATCAGGAATTCAAAGTCAGCCTTGGCTAGATGACAAGTTTAAGGCCAGCCTGTGTTGCATGAGAACATGTCTGAAGAAGAAATTGAGAAAAATAATCAAACATACTAAAGCTGTACACAAACGTAAATGGTCCTTTTCCACCTCTGTTGTCTAGGCAAGAGCACTCACTGGCCATGTGTCCTGCTGTGGCAGGTGGAATCATCTCATTCTAAAGAATGAGAAGACATTGGTAAAAAACCTACCTAGCAGACAATTAGGTTTGTTCCCAAAATGAAAATGTGGCCAATTAAAAGCGATTTTAACTAATACTCTAGGAATTTTTCCTAAAGAAATGCACATGGTCCCCAATTTAGCATGCCTCCACACAACAGTTTTTCAGCTTTTCACTAACAGATCATTACACATTTAGTGGAAATCGTACTTCATCTTTTGGTCATTTAAGCTATGTGGTACAATACTTTGCTGAGGTGTTGAGTAGTGGGTGCTACAGCATCCAGTCCACCCTATGAGCAGAGCGATCATCCAGCACACTACAGTGTACTTACTATGTTGCCAAGATTGTTTGGATATAGACCGTCAACAAATGACACGAGATGTCAATATTCTATTATAACACAGGCTTTGTGTTAGATGATTTTTGCCAAAACTAGGGGCTTATGTAAATGTTCTAAGCATATTTAAAGTAGCCAAAGCAATGATGTTTGGTAGGTTAGATATAAATTCATTTTTCATTATTTCGGTTTTTTGAGAGAGGGTCTCGTGTAACCCAAGCTGCCCTCAAATTCACTATGTAGCTAAGGATCACCTTAAATTACTGATTATCTTGCTTCCAATTCCCAAAGTTATGGAATTATAGATATGCACCATCACGTCCAGCTTTTAATGTATCGTGTGTTTGTGTATGAACACAAGAGTGCACTCCCAAGTATATACATGCATATATATATACATATATATATACATATATATATATTTATATATCCTAGAGATAGATGTCAGTGACTTGCTCTATGGCTCTCTACCCTTTTTGTTTTGGGTTTTTTTTGTGTGTGTGAGACAGGGTCTTTCACTGAACCTAGAGTTGTCATTTTGGCTAGACTGGCTAGCCAACAAGACCCTGGGACCTGTCTCAGAGCCCCTGATGCTACAGCTCTAGGGTTGACACTGCACCAGTTTATGTGGGTACCAGGAATCTGAAAGGGCCTCATCCTTGCACAGCAAACATCTCACTGACTGAGCCTTCTCCCCAGCCCTAATTCATTTTTAATTCATGATATTTTTATCTTATAGTGGGTTATCAGTGTATCCTTTTGTGTATCGAGCAGCCTCAGTAATCAAAGTATGTAGCTGTGTCTTCTGACTTTCAATAGTCCTCATCATTGCCTAACCAGTGTTAGGATAACATAATCAACAGTCTCTCCCCATTCCATCCACTGACTCCCTTCCTCAGACAGAGCAGAGGTAAGGCCGTGGGCTGGTGCCTTTCAGAGAAGGTTAAGTATCTCTCAGGGATGGAGTAAGAGAGCAGTACTGGATCCTTCTGCAAGGGGCTGGATAGACCACGAGGACCATGAAGACAACTCGGCTGACTATTAAAATGCCTACTGATTCTGACTTTGGACATTCTTGGGACTTCAGAGAAGAAGGAAAGAGCCAAGCATGGAGTTGAAAGCTTGCTGCTGATCCGGGGCCAGAGAAGCCTGATTCCATCCCTGTCTCCAAGGCTAGGAGAGCTGGGGAGCTAAGGCAGAATTGAGGATTTCTCTTTGAGGGCCCATGTCTGGTAGCTTGCCAGCTTGCTCCTACTGCAGTACGTTTAGCAGTCTGTCTGACTAGGAGTTGGAAGTGAAAGGGGCTGTGAGTAGTCCAGATAAAGTCCTTAAGAGCCGAAGGGGTAAGAAACAGAACTCAGCGTAGGGGTTCCTGATGGGACAAAGTGAAGGAAGGAAATGGCAGGTTTGTTCAAACTTTAGCAGACTTAATTCCATAGACTGAGGGAGGGGGTATTCATTACAAAGCTAGTAAGCTGTTGAGTTGAGTGGAGGAGATATATTAAAACACATCAGAAGATAATGAACTAGAAGGCAGTCTTGGCTGCTTAGTACTGCACTGTGCTGATTCAAATTAATCCCAATGACCAGAGATGCCCCCCTCCCCTTCTCCCGCTTAGGGTTAGCTGAACTAATCACTGGGTCAGGGGAGAGTAGAATGTCATTAATTGATTAAACCTTCAAGATGACTTTAGAACCGAGGCTCAGGGTAAAAAGCCCACATGGGAGAGCGCAGCATCTATTTATTTATTTATTTTAGGAGTTAGCTGCCTTTCCTGTCACTGTAATATCACAGTGTTGACCTTGTCCTGAGGATAAATGAGACTTGCTTAACACAACATCTAGTAATAGGAAGCTCCAGGAAAATAGTAATCATTTCCTTGTTTTTGTTTAAAAATAGTGATTTTAGGGCTGGGAGATGGTCTAGTGAATAAAACACTTGCTGCACAAGCCTGAGAAGGAAATTTAGGTCCCTGGAGCTCATATAAAAGCTGGACAAGTACTATAGTCTCCTATAATCCCAGCACAGCGGAAGGAGAGACAGGGAATCCCTGTGGCCACCGGGGTTAGCTGGGATCAGTGAACTCCGGTTTCATAGAAGAACCCTGCTTCAGTAAGAAAATGGAGAGCCATCAAGGAAGATATCTGACATCAACCCTGGGCACACGCACCTGCACACACGTGTGCCCATACAAATTCAGACATGCATGTGCATGAGACAGGATCTCATCAGACACCATGAATTTTTTGAATTTGTGCAGCCAAGGCTTTGTCAGATTATTTTATAATCCTGGAAGCCAAAGAATGTCTTTACTCTGTCATCACCTAGGATGTGCTTCTCAGTCTTTAATGACCTTTCCATCCACCTGTGAATGCTGTGGGACGCCACTTCTGAGTTAAATACAAATTCAGACAGCATGAGAGGCTCTTCATTTTTAACAATCGCCAAGGTGACGCTGATGCTGAACCCCAGCCCAGATAATGTGATGAGGATGCAGGCAGGATTTTGCCTCTTCTCTGTCACTGAAGAATGGGTTTTCCATTATATCCTACTGTAGTGAGGAGTTGTGGGCAGGCCTGCTTTTCGTCCCGCCTGGCTCCCGCACGGCTAGCTTAGCCCCAGAAATAACAACACACAAATTGTATTTATTTAAACATTGTCTGGCCCATTATCTCTAGAGAGTTAGTTACTGGCTAACTCTCACATCTTGATTAACCCATTTTTAATCATCTGTGTAACATTACGAGGTCGTGGCTTATTGGGAGAGATTCAGCATGTCTGACCTGGCGGCTGGTTTTATGGCGTCTGCCTCATGGCCCTCTTCCCAGCATTTTGTTCTGTTTACTCTGCCTACCCAATTTTTTGTCCTATCAGAGGGCCAAGGCAGTCTCTTTATTAACCAATGAAAATAACACATAACAGAAGGCCCACCTACATCATCCTACCAAGTGGGAAGGCGGGGAGAGGGGTGGGGGGATGGAGAGAAGGCAATTTCCTTTTCATAGCCTCACCTTTTTACTTTGAAATTTTCAATCTGAATATTGAGTAATGGAGTGTGCATTTAGCATAGTTTAAACACTGATATTTTGGCAGTGTTATTTCAAGGATGCGACACAAGTTGCATAGATCACATTTCTCTTGCCTCGGCCTTTCCTGTGCTGGGGTTACAGGTGTGTGCCAAGATCACACCAAGATCAATCTTAGATATTTTTCTGCAGCAAGATTAATTAGAAATAATTTCAGTAATGACACACAAAGTGTAATTGTCTTGAAGGCTCAAAATGACCTGAATGGATCTAAACATGCTTTTCCAAGCTACCTAGATACAGCGACATGTTTGTAATACTTCGTTCCACAAAATTGGAAGTTTAACAATCTCCATTTTGTCCGAGGGATTTTCCAGTCCTCCTTGAAAATGAACAACTCACACTGTCACAAAAAGAAACTAGAAATACAGGCTGCTTTACATAAACTCTGTTGTCCATACACATCATGCTACACAGGCAAGAGAGTTAACTATTTGTGGCTGATTTATATCATCTTGTTTCACTACTCTTGGCTGTGTGTGTGTGTGTGTGTGTGTGTGTGTGTGTGTTACAGAGGATGGAACCCAGCCCCATGCATAAAGTAGGTAGCTTTCTACCATTTAGCTACAAATGCGATCCCAAAATTCTAAAATCTCGAGGAACACCTTACTTTTTAAAATGTTAAAAAAAAATTACTTTGATGCTTCAAAGATATCGCTGATTTACAGTTTGAGACACGAAATTTGACGTGTTACCTTAGATGTTAATTACATCTTTTCAGGGTTATTTTAGCCCTCAACTGTATAGATTCTGTTCTTTTTGGGGTTTTTTTTTATTTGTTTTTGTTATATGGATTATCGTAGTTATCTGAAAGCAAAGGATAAACTGTCAACAGGGGTTCCCTAGTAACAGAAACTGAATTATCTTTGGATTATACTGGATATCGAACCCCCACCCCCGTCCTGAAGGCCACTGTCACCTGCCCAATTGCGGTGTCAGACCAAAACCGCCCTTTCGAAGCTATCAGCGCGAGCGCGGGGCGGTGCCATTGAGTAAAGGCTTCCAACGATTGCAGGCGCCGGCGTCTACTAACCTCCAGGGAGAGAAGAACAGGCCAGCGGCGGGGCCGTGTGGTTCAGCGTCTGGGAGGTCTCCTGTCTCTTCTGACCTGCTTCACCGCAGAAGGGCACAGAAACCGCGGCCCGTGGCCCCGCACGCACGCAAGGGCGGTTCAGCACCTAGCAGTTGTCTTGTGCTTCCGCAGCCGGCGCGGGCAGCTTTAGGAACCGACGAGCCTGGGAGCCCGTTCCCAAGATGGTGGCGTCGGCGTCAGGGAGGACGGCGCCACGTGGTGCAGCGACCAATGATCTTCCGGGCTGCGCCGCCGGCGGCGCACGAGAGGCGGAAGTGCCGCGGGGCCGCCTTCTCCGTCCCGGCTGCGGCCCCTGCCGGTTACATAACCCGTCGCGCGGGGTGGGGGGGCCCGCAGTTCCACGTCCGGCTTCCCGTCTCCCCCAGGATGCGCTGAGCCCCGCGACGCCGTCCGCTGCCGCCGGCTCCCGTCCGAGGTGAGGCAGCCGGGGCCTCGGCGGGTGCAAGTCGGGGCGGTGGGGAGGTCGCAGGCGCGACCCCGAGGGCACTGGCCAGCCGTGGGAGGCCGGGTTTTCCGAAGAGCGCGTCCTTCTACAGACCCCTGCGCGGCCGCGCTTCTTAGCGCCCAGTTTGTTTCCGTGGCGGCGGCGGCGGCGAGGGGTGCGGAGGGGCGTCGGGAGTTGATCTTTTCGGGGTCCCTTAGTCAGTGATCTCAGGAATTGGAAGTGGAAAGGCGGCATTTTCTGGGTTTGCTGGAGGTGAGGGGGTCTGGTCGCCTCGCTTCTCCGTGGGAACTTGTTGCACCGGTGGTAATTGCCGGCTTGCTTACACTCGCGAAAGCCAAGGACCCTGCTTGGGGTCCCTCTGCGTCTTTTCATTCCAGCAGTGCTTTTGGTATTCCGGCAAACAGAAGCCTTCCACTTCTGTTTACTAGCCAAACTGACCCTCCATAATCGACTCTGACTTGTCTCCGCTGAATTGGAAAATTCACTTTCCAAGTAGAAGAGATCTATGGCCGGTGCTGTTTGTCTTCTGGGGAAATTGGGGCGGGGTTGTGGAGGGGGTACTTCAGGCCTTTCCTGAATCCCCAGCAAATGCCTTCGTGCCCCACTGCTGTCAAAACCAAAGCTTGGGGATTGCAGGCTGCAGTAAACACAAACTTTGACTGCTATATTGATCTGCTAACTCTGCCAAGTCCTTGAGCCATGTGATTTTGGGTCGTTCTTGTCACCGTTGGGCTTAGAAGAAAAGAATAACAGCCTACTACCGAGGTGACTGACTCTCTGTGGTGTCTAGAGTGCTAGTCAAGGGAGAAAGTTGCCAGTTAGAGAGGTTTTCTTTTGTCAAAGTACTGAAAACACAAAACCCCTGAATTAGTGCTTGTCTGACCCAGCAGGCAAAGTCACATTGCACCAGAGATCATTTATGCAAATACTTGAGTCCACATAGCCATGTGACGTGGAGGAAAGTTTTATAAGTCCTGTGACTGCGTTACCAGGTGAAACGTCAGGAGGAGGGGGTCGGGAACCAAACAAGCAAACAAGTACACACAGAGGGGAACCCGCCCAGCAGCTAGTATGGATAGGATTAAACACTAGAGGAGTCTGAAGGGCCATCATTCCAAAGTGGTAGCATAAGTCTTCCCACCTCCTCCTTTTAGAATAGTTTGACTAGAACAGCAACAAGAATAATGTGCAGGACGTAAACCCCTTGAGAGTGGGGGCTGCACTGGCTCTGCCAACAGCTGTGGTTTGCTAGAATTCCAACTCACAGACCTAGACAGCTCCATGTCAGACTTCCCTGGCTGAGTTTCGATGAAAATTGTTTCAAATTTGTCACGAAATCCAGCCTGGTCTGGTGTCAGCACACCAGCACCAGCATAAAATAGACAACTTTGTTTGTTTTTTATGACTGTGTTTCCTATCTTTAACCTCTTTTAGTTGTACCTTGAAGAGACTTGATCACTGTGTGTGGAGAGTGTCTTTGGATTTGGCCTAAGTTGCTTCTGACAGGAATGGAAGACGCTTTCTGGATGTCAGATCTGAGGGATTAAAGATTGACCTGAGCCAAGAGCAGGAAACAGAGGTTATAGATGCCCAGGGAGATGCTGGTGATTAAAGACTATGGGGCCCTCAGTGTACAGCTTAGTGCGGCACAGTGTGGCAGCCTAAGAACTAGCCCAGGTGGATAGAGAGTTGACAGATGGAGACAGGATTCTTGAGAACTTGAGTTCAGGCCCAGTTCAAACACAGACTTTGATTCAGCAAATTATTTTAAATGATTTTAAGCAAATGATTTTCCTTAAATCTGCTTTTAAGGGCAGATTTCCTTGCCTGCGCATCATTCTTAGCCTGGCCTCTGGTGGAGGCTGGCTGGCAGGACAGTCAAGGATCTGTCTGAAGCCCAGATACTCACACTGTTTACTGGCCCATGTGTTTAAATAGCAAACACAAATACACCAAGTTTATTCTCTTCTCTGAGCACAAAGCGGGTTGCTCAGTATTTATGGGAAGGAGGAATTCCTGTAGAAGGTGGTTTGGGATCTCGATTAATGCAGATAGTGCTTTAAGTAGCTAGAGGACCTCAACCTCAGTTCAGAGGTTGGAGGAGCACAACAGTAACCCTGAGGTGGGGTCCAAGTTAAGACTGTGAAGAAGGTGACAGCAAATGAAGGTTAACTTTGTCCATGTTTTGGCTCAGTCAGAGTCCACCTGGCCAGCAGAGAAAGCACCCTCAGAATGACAGTGAGATTCAGCCAGATGTGGTAATGCATGCCTGGATCCCAGTATTTGAGGGGCAGAAGCTGGTGGATCTCTGAGTTCAAGGCCAGCCTGGTCTACATAGTGAGTTCCAGGGCAGTGAAGGCTACATAAAGAGTCCTTGTCTAGGGGATTGGAGAGTTGGGGGGTGATGAGACTCAATTTAAGTGTTACAACAGAGATTTTCAAATTCTTTTCAAAACTACCTGTTTTGTCCAAAAATAAACTCTTAATACTGCCCTTTATTATTTATTTATTTAGGTTTTTCAAGACAGAGTTTCTCTGTGTAACAGCTCTGGCTGTCCTGGAACTTGCTCTGCAGACCAGGCTGGCCTCAGATTCATAGAGTTCTGCCTGCCTCTGCCCCCAGAGTGCTGGAATTAAAGGCGTGCACCACCACTGCTCGGCCTTGATACTGCCTTTTAAAGCCAGCAGCCTAGGAATAGCATGGTATTTTGGGCATTGATGTTAGAAATAAATGTCAGAACACAGATTCAAAGTTCCAAGAAAGAGGAGGTGGTTATGAGTAGAGACTAAGAACAGATCTTGGGAAAGTGCTTGTTGCCTTTGTTTCCATAGGAGATGAAGATATTTTGCTGCTTTAAAAGACTTTTTAGGACATAAGCACAGATTTCTAATCCCAGCATTCAGGAGGTGGAGGCAGGAGGATTGTCACAAGTTTGAAGCCAGTCTGAGATATGTAATGAGTTTTCAAGTAAGCATGGGCGCCATAGCAAGACCCTGACACAGGCAAATAGACTGGTTTGGACTGGTTTGGAAAGCTCCCAGTTTGCTTTGTTTGTTTCTGTGGCGTGGTTTTCTTTTGTTAACAAAGGAAAGAAAAGAAGAAAGGATCGGAGCAATGGCTCACAGTTAAGAATGCTTTTCTTTCAGAGATCTTGAGTTTGATCCTTGACCTACGTGGGCAGCTCACCACCACCTAAAACTCCAGCTCCAGGAGATTTGCTGCCCTCTTCTGGCCTCCATGGGCCCTGAGCACCCATATGGTGGTATATACACAATAATAAATAAATCTTTTTAAATAAATAAAATGAAATTGGTGTGATGACTCATACCTGTAGTCCCAGCTCTGATGGATTAAGAGTTTGATACTGGAGGCTAGGGGTTGGAGATATGGCTCAGTAGTTACTAGTGCTTGCTATTCTTGCAGAGGACCCTTTAGATTCCGATTTCAGGCACTCACATGGCAACTCACGCAATGTTCTGTAACTCCAGTTCCAGGGGAGGCACCCTCAGAGTTCACAAACATACATGCCGGCAAAACATCCACATACATAAAATAAAGATGAATCCTTTTCCCCCTTCTTTTCAAGAGTGTGACGCCAACCTGTGCTAACTAACACAGACTGCTAGCAATGCTGTGACTCAAACAGACACTTTTTCTTATTGTTCCTGACATGGGGTTGATTTGGGCACAAAGGCCTGGAAATAGGTGGTGTCTTTTTTTTTTTTTTCCCTTCAGTACTGACAGGTATTCTTTTCTGGAAAGGGTTAATACCATAGGGTTCCTGTCATGCCTGTGGCATTCAAAAGTGCCGTGGAGAGCTGCTCACATATCTGTCTCTGAAAGACCCTGCTGGAACTACAGTTGTAACCTGTTGATAAGTGCTTCACCTGTGCGCTCTGACATCGGCACATCTCCAGGTCAGACATTGGCTGCTGCTTTACTGCCCTGAGTTTCAGGTTACTTGGCTTATCCTCTGGCCTCTAATAAGCTTTTGCTGAAATGTGTAAAAATGCACTGCCTAGCAAATGAACAGAGTCTGGGCACACGTTCATGCCACCAGCTGCTCACAGGCAAGCCCTTTCCTTATGGAAAACTGCTCCACAGGACCTGCAGAAAGCTAGTCACAGTTGTGTGGGGGTGAGGTGAGCACAGGGTTTTTAATTTCTGCCTTCTGTTGTACTATTTTTTTTGTCTTAAAAAATATTTTATGTGTGTGTGGGGTGGGGGGGTTATGTGCAGTGCCAACAGAGGTAAAAAGAGGACATCAGATTCCCTGAAATGGACTTAGGTAAGGGTGGTTGTAAGTCAACGTGAGAATACTGGGAACTGAACCTGGGTCCTCTGGAAGACCAGTCAGTGCTCCTGACCCTGAGCCAACATTCCAGAGCCCCTGTACTTGCTTTCTTTTCTTTTCTTTTTTTTTTTTTTTTTTTTTTTTTTTTTGCAGTAGTAAGGATTGAACCCAGGGCCTTGTAGACACTAGACAAATTTTTCACCAGTGAGCTGCAACCCACACATTTTCATGTCCCTCTCCTTCTAAAAATAGGAGAGTTTTTAAAAGCCTTTTATGAATATTGTTCCTTAAAACTTGTAAAAGCTTTTAATTTTGGATTTTGTATAACCCTCTGATTGCTGTTTACACAGGAGCCCTTTAAGATGTTCTTGCAAGACTGCTCGGCAGTCCACCTCCATTGCCTCCTTGTGGA